GCACTAATGCTAAATCTACCTCTCAGATCAGGAGACTCAATGCAAAGCTACCTTCCGACATCTGTCATCGTCAAATTCTTGTAATCTGCAGACCCCTGTGCAACTACCAAAGGGGCCATTTATTCAACTCAGAATTAAATTGAAAGTAATTTTAAGTTCTTAAACAGTAAGAAACCAGGATAACACTGGACACAAACTGAAGTTTCTTATCTGATTATGTACTGATTTCAACCTTTATAAGACGATTTCTGCATTTGATAAGAGCATTCACTTGTATTATCTCAGTAAAAAATAAAGGCTAAATGAAACTTCGAAATAAGTCCACATTAAAATGGTTTTCTATTCATCCTCAATTAGATTAGGCCACGATGAACAGAAGCCTTAGAGGAATTAGGCTGCTTGCCACCCACCAAAGGTAAACTACTAAAATAATTTATAAATATATTCGATGACAAATTGGACAAAACCCAAAACAATGGCTTCCAAATGCCTCACCTACGGCTTTATAATGGCGAAGTTGAAAGGTTACTGCCCGAGAGACTAATAATGTTAAGTTTTTACACTACATACTTAAGTCTCCAACAAGGCAGATCTCCACAAAGGGAAAAAACACTTAAAAATGTACAGAGGATCGAAAACGCTAAGTTCTTTCATTTCTTCCCCCGTACCTCCAAGTACTGAATTAAAGGTAACCCAAAAAAGTCACTTCCTCCACACCAACCCCAACACCTCCCAACAAATCCAATTTTACAAAAGGGGGCTCAGAGAGTATCAGGTTAACGCCAGCCTCAAGGAAGGCATTTTTCCAGACTTCGGAGGTTATAGATAGGGCTTTATCCACCAGGCCACAAGCTGAGTTCCAGAAGTCACTGGCAACCAGGGTTGCCAGCGCAGCTCCGAATCTCTAAGCCAGTTCTCAAGGTCTTTTCAGACAGGCGGGGGAGAGTCAGGTTTCGGAAGATGGGTTAACAACCTCCGGATCTCGCGCTGCAGATCCCACCCTCACTGCAGAAAGAATGGGGGAGGACGGGGGTGCGCTTTTCGTCCCAACCCTGTCCCTCAGGAGACCGCAGGGCCACCGAACAAAGCTGACTGGTGCAGAAAGCCGCGGGGGAGGGGGCATCCCAGGGTTCAGCGGCGGGGGAGGTGAGGTTTCGGCGCTAGGGCGAGATGTTGGGTAGTGGGGCCAGGGAGGCAGCGGGGGATCCTAGGACAGCCTATACCATCTCTTCACCTTTTTGTGGGGGAGGGGGTATCGAAATTTCTGATGCCGTTAGAGAAAACAAGCAAGAACGAGTGCGATCTGGGGCTAGGACTGGGCTCCGGCTGGGCCCACAGCCGGCCTTCTTAGGGTCACAAGAGGAAGGTATCCCGGATCCCCGCCCTGCAGCCCCGCAGCTTCGGAGAGGAGCCGTCATCCAGGCGAACGTGAAGGCCCTTACCGCTTGAAATCCCGCATGAGCCTCCTCCGGGCCGGAGTCGACATACTCCCCAGCTGCCCCGCGGTCAGTCTGGAAAAATGAGTCCCACGCAGCCCCCCCACCCCCCGCCGCGGCGGTCGAATCACTATGGGTCACCGCCGCCGCCGAGGCTTCACAAACAACCCTGCAATGACGTCTCCCTCCGCCGCCTCCAGATCCCTCCGCCCTCCGCCGGTACCACAAAGGGAGGGGTGGCGTGGTAGGGGACAGGACACCCGGGAGGTCCTTATGGGAGCCTTTCAGCAGGATTCTGTCCCTCTTGTCTTCTTGCACTAATCGATAGATTAGTGTTCTCTGTGCTCAGAAGGGATATTGTGGATTAAGAGACTCCGAAACCTAAACACCACCCTGCCTCTCCCCCTTTCACCAGTTTAGACTCGGCGGGGTGGGGAGAGAGGGACGCATCCGGGAACAGAGATTTCAGGGAAAGGAGGTGGGAATGACGTAAGGTCACGTGGCTGCCGGCGGCGTTGTCAACAATCCACCCCTGCGGGAGAGGGGGCGAACTATCTAGAACCACGTGTCCCGTGTCCGTCAGACGCGTTTAGAATGGACCTTTAAAGTGCCTCACGGGGTCTGAGTCTCAGCCAGGTCCGTGAAGCAGGTAGTTAAATTTACGTGGCCGAGGGCGGGGATGTACCCTAGTTTTTCCTGCTGAGCCGGGACGGCAATCTAAGAAGTCCTGGTGGAAGCAAACGGAGCCAAAAATAATTTGGATTAAAAAACCCCCTCTGGTTGGTTCAATGGCTTAACAAGTCTGGTATATAGGGAAGGTACAGTTGAGGGACCTCCATTTTTTCTAGTAAGTGCAGCTTGAATGTTGAGGCCCACAGAAATACCCTGAAATGCTTCCTCAAGGTCGCTAAATAGCCTATAGTGCATTGCAGTGGGGTTCGCAGGGTTGGAAATTCTGGGCAAAGAAGGAATAACGGTGTATGGCTGTCCAAGGTTTGTTCACAATCCCTGTGTAATTACGTACTTTATTTTTCCTTTCTAAGTCAGCTCTCATTTGAGGATTTGTATCAAAGCTCATGGTTTTGGCTAGGATGTAGTACCATTGTGTGTGTCAAGTGTGAATAAGATTGTAATATTTACAGAATATCTCGCCTGGCTTTAGTATATCTGCATATCAATAGGCGTTCAGAGGTGGAAAGAAGTGTGGCTTTAGTGCATTTGCATCATTCCTCAGGGGTGGAGAGTTCATCTCAGTATCAGGGGGTAATTACCTGGGCAACAGAGGGCTTTATCTGTACCTGAGAGGTGACAGGGAGTGCCGGTTTTGCTTCTGCTGGAGCAGGAAAGAGAGAAGGACTGCAGTTTGTAGGCAATAAACGGGTTTTAAACTTTATTTCTCCCTTTGACTGATGTCGGTTTTTAGACATATTTTGCCCCAGGATTTCCTTTCCTCAGACTTACACAAGAAATGTGGGGAGATCTCAAGAGAGTATATAGATGTGTACTTGGTTGTCAAACCTAAAATTATTCATATATGGGAGAGAAATCATGCAGACATGAGTGGGAGTATATTACTAACTTGGATAACTCATTTCAGGTTTTCTATACTAGCAAATAAGGTGCAAATTGGTTTGAAATGCCTCCCAGTAGGGGTCTCAGAGGTGTTGACCCTTGGGGATTCTGACATTCCTTTAGTCATCAGTTCCCTCTCTCTATTGACTCCAATTCCTGACCTCAAGATTTCACTGGTCTGGAGGACTCTGAGCACTTTTATATACTTTTGGGTAATTTTTCAGCCCAAGGCAGATGGGAGGATGGAATGGGGACTTTAATATTGCTCTGAGATGCCCATAGTTCCATGGAATCAGGGGTTAATTTTCTTCACTTTCCTGACCTCCCTTTCTTCAAACCCAGAATTCTCTCTTGCTTCTAGTAACTGCCTTGGTGACCAAGTTAGCCAGGGCTAACTCTAGATGGGTCCTGCTATACATTCATATATGTGATTCTGTAAGTTAAAAGCTGAATATTCTTAGTTTTATTTTTTTGCCCTACTGCCATAGCAATTCTAATCCTCCTCATCGCTAAGGAAGACACACACGGGTAAGGTTAGATGCAGTGGAATGCTAAAGACAAACTTTAAAAAAATATCCTTGTCACATCATTTATCCAGCAATTTATAATTGTTTTGGAAACCCATAATTGTTTCCCAAAATGAATTAACAGTTTCAACAAAATCAGTGAAGGTGTTTCATTAGTCTTAGAGCAATATATAGGCAAGAATCATTGGCTGTCCTGGTTACCAGGCCTGCCACAACCTATTTGTAGAAAGAATAATTTTAAAGCTATGATTTTATGTTAAAGTGATTCTCTGTGGACTGTGAGTTCACTGAGGGCAGTGACATGCTTTTTCCCCGTGCAGATTTTCAGCCCACAACAAATAATAAATATGCATATGCAAGTCTGAGCCTACTCTAAGATTTATTAAGACATTCTTATTCATATGAAGTATTTTGTAACATGGTTGAGCAACTTTTCAAAAAGACAATTCTGAATATTTTGGTGGTGGTAAACAAAAACCAGCACCACCTCTCCTTCCTTTCCCACTACTAATACAAACTTTAGCATCACAGAAACTCTTGGGAAGCTTTAAAAATAACCCACTTTCTCTCATTTAGATTAGGATCTGGGGTGAGGAGGCTTTTTAAAAGCTCTCCTGTTGTGATTTTAATGTGCATGGTAGTAAGGTGGCACCGAATGAACTAGAATTTATTAGATAATAATGATTTCTCTTATTTAGGGAAAGCGTAGTGAGATTTGGTCTTTTACATTTTACAGAAAACTAAATAAAAGTCTTAAGAAACACTGCAGGCCCAGGGCACTTCCTTCAGTGTTATCCTTATTTACTGGAGGGCGTCATGTCAGCCAATCCCCTTGTCTAGTTCTTAAGCAATTAGATAAGAGCCTCCTTTTTCCCTCTATGTCCTTGTATATCAATCTGCGAATGGTAGAACCCTCTGAATTATCCGCTTTCCCGAAGAGGGAGTTTGAGAGTTTTGACATGGAGTAAGGGAGTTTTTAAAAACGATTACTTCAAATTCGAAAAAATTTTAAAGCATGTAACCAAGAAATGTTCTTGATTTAAGAACCGTCTTATCCCCGTTTTAAGGACGAATATCGACAGCTGAGGTCAAACTCAAGTCTATGGAATATTAACGTAACTAGGTAATGTAGAAAACCATAATTACACGAGACGTCCTTGGAGGTGTCGTTTTGAAAGGTGTCTGCTTAATGACACTAGCCATCCTTTTAGGATCCAGAACAACCCGCAGGTTTCCTCTGGCCTTGGGGAATCTACGAAGCAGGTCGGACGAGCCGCCTCGGTTCCCTTAGCCTACAGTCACTCGAGCTGCAGTCAAAATAAGGATCCTCCCACAATAACGCTCAAAACCAACCTGACGAGGTAGTCCGAATTCGCTCGAGGGCAACCCGCCCTCCGATGCCCCGCAGGATCTCCTTTTCACCTCTTGTCATTTTCCCTTCCGGGTCGGTCCTGCCGATGTTCCGGTCTTGCGCGCTAGGCCCGGAACGCGAGCGCCGCGGCACCGTTGCCATGGTAGCGAGCCGCCGGGAGTTAGCTGGTCTAGCCCGCTAACAGGGTCGGTCGGTGTCCGGTTGCCTGACTGGGACTTCGTAGAGCCAGGCCGGCGGGACTACAGTATGTGCTGAGGCGGCTACGGCGGCGGCTGCGGCTGCCGGAGGAGGTCGACTGTGGGGAGAGGCGCGAGACGCTGGCCCGGGACCCTAAGACGTCTGGTTTGGGGAGCGAGCGGGACCGACGTGTTCTTGGGTCCCAGGACCTGATTTATGGGCTACTGCGGTGTTGCGGGAACCTCACATTTGGAGGCAGCATGTGTGGGGACCCAACCTGTGATGGATAGGTGACACGTAGTGAAGGAACCTTAAGTCTTATTGTTGATGGGAGTGCCCAAGACATCAGGGGGCTTTTCAAAGTTCTGGAGAGGGCTGGAGCCCCACATCCTGCCGCCGAGCCGGCAGAGTGCCCAAAGACAAGGAGGGTCTGTGGAAGACATGCCTACTTTTCCCATGTATCTATTTTCAAAGCACGGGTTAGTGTGGAAATACGTTATCCAGCTGGAAAAAATGAAAGTATGCATGTTTAACTCTCTTTTAATTTCTTTGAAGAAGCCGGGCTTGAAAATGGAGATGTATGAAACTCTTGGAAAAGTGGGAGAGGGAAGTTACGGAGCAGTCATGAAGGGTAAACATAAGGATACTGGGCAGATAGTGGCCATCAAGATATTTTATGAGAAACCAGAAAAATCTGTCAACAAAATTGCAGCGAGAGAAATAAAGTTTCTAAAGGTTTGCTTCTTTTGCCTTAATTGGTCTTTGTAAGTCAAAAGAAATTGTTATGCAATAAAGACTGTATAAGGAATATTTCAGTTAACAAATGTATTAAGACATAATGGAAAAGCAGGTGTAATAATCTACCTTCTTTAATACATTTTGTAATTTTATAGTGATTCAAGATAAATATGCTTATGTACAGTGTAGCAAAAGCTATGCCAAATACTATGAACTGTTTTCTCAGAAATATCCAGGTATGATAATAAAAATGTTTGCTTTGTGCAAGGCATTGGGCCAGGTGCTGAGACTGGAATGAGGTAAGGGACAGTACCTGCTTATTAGACGTTTATTATTTAATCAGAAAGACAGGAAGGCATATAAAAATAATAAAAATGGCTCAAAAGAAATGCCAAGTGATTAACACAGAATCCTGTTGGGTAGGGGAAGTTTCTTGCAGGAAATGGGACATGAATTTGGCCTTAAAGGATGTGTGGAATTTGGGTCAGAAGAAGAAACTGTTGTATTTCAGTTTAGGAGAACAAGTATAAGCTCAGAGAGGCTACAGCAGGACTAAGGACAAAGAGCAGAGACATTTGCTTGTTGTGTCCTATCCAGAAGTAGAAAGAGTTAAGATGAAAGAAATAAACTGGAGGGAGGTTTTAAAGTCTTGTCTTTTAGGCTAAGGAATCAAAACTTGATTCTGTAAAAGGTGGAAGGTTTTGAATTAAGAGTAAAGCAGTCTTAATCTAACACTATTTTTTAGAATAGATAGGGAGACTGCGAGAGTAAAAATACAGAAGTCTGTTATGAGTTTAATTCAGGAAACTTGGTAAATGTCATGAGGGCGCTTGCTAGAATGCAGCAATTTGGAAGTAAAGTCAGAAAGTGATGTGTTGCAAATGAAGACATGAAAGAATGTAGAAGGAAATAGAAGGGGAGGAGTTAAACATATATTTGAGGTTCATTGGTGGAAATGTGAAAGATTTAAAAGACACATGGTTAGTTTAGTTTTAGAAGCGTTGAACTTGAAGTGACAGGAATACATTTAAGTAAAGATGACCAGTAGGCTTTTAGAGATGGGAAACAATGTCAGGGCAGATTGGGGCAGAAGATAGAATTTTGTGTATGTATGACAGGTCACCCAGGGAAAAGAACTCAGGATTATGAAGAAAAGAGCATTAACATTCCTTGGGGATTGAGTAGAAAATTAGGGATTTTTAAATTATTATTGAAACTTACGTAGATGCTTTAAGGTTTATGACTTTGACAACATGGTCTAAGTGTTCTATGTGGTGAAGAAAACAGATACTGTTTCATTTTTATTTAATAAAAAAGTAATCATCTCTGTTGTAAGTCTATATTAGATATGATGGATCGGTTTGCTTTCTAAATAGAAGAAATATATTAGGCATCTGTGGATTGTTAGAACTGCTCTATTTCTAGACAATGAAAAGGAAAGTTGAAGTCAGTAAAGATACTATCATTTTGTGAAAGATACCAGTCCTTATCCTGATGACCTAAAACATAATAATTGCAATTATTATAACAAAGCAATTGTTGTATGCTGTAAGTTAAAATCTGATTAGAAAAAGATCTTTTCTCAGGCAGTATCTTTTGTTCTTTCTTCAACTCTGTTGCATTTAAGCTGATTATTTTTCTCTTCTTAAATCATTTCATAAAAATAACTAATATGTGGCAAGAACACATAAATTTTAAAATGTACCTTATTATTACAGTTATTATATAAACTATTTTGAGACAAACTTAACTATTTATTCTCATTGATTTATTTCTTACAGAGTTTTAAGTTTGATCTAATCTAATTCCACAAGAGAGATTTCTTAGAATAGTTAAAATTCTTAGTCTAAAGAGATTGCCATGACTTAATTTGAGTTATATTTTTATCTGCCAGAATTTCATTAAATAAATTACAGCTAGAGTAATTAGCATATCTGTAGTAAAGTTCTCCAGTAATGAAAAAAGTAAACAATCTAAAAGAGGTAATGGAGGATTTCTAGGGGGTTTCGTGGTTTATCTGAGAAAATACTTGATTTCCTTACCCTGGGTGGATCTTCCCTAGTGCTTATTATTTCACGTAAACCCTTCACTGCTGTTGCTTTGAAAATAAAGACTGGACAGGAAACCAGTAATTTTCCTTAGTTGAAGGATTAATATTGTAGGGTCCAAAGAGGAGTCAGTCCTTTTTATTACTGCCAGCATGTCACTGTAGCACTCTGATGTCTTGCCAACCAGGGAAATTGGGAGCAAAAATAGGAAAGGAATCTGGCATTGTATTTTGGCATGTTTTTCTATTAGTCATGTTTAAAGAACTTTGGTCTATGATTTGGGACAGGTAATTGGAAAAATGGATATTGTGCCATTGGGATAAAGGCAAATCTTTTTCATACAAGTATAGTTTTCTAATGGATCCAACATTGAAAATATATCCTTAATTTTTAGCCAAATGCATAAATATTTTTGGTAATTTGAAAAATAAAATATTTGAGAATTGATTTTAATTGTCAGTGTGTTAACAGAATAAGCAGTATAAAATATTAAACCTCATTTGTTTTCTAAGCTGATATTTCTGAAGTGATTTTAATGATTATTACTAGTCTATAAAGGTGTTTTATTGCTTAATAGAATATTACAGTGAACAAAATTATATAGTTATGTCAAGTTCTACAGCTATGCATTGGTTATTTCACATATCTGAAAAGTTTCTAGATATTTTGATACTCCTTTTTGACAGTGTGATGAATTTATAATGTCCACTTGGAACTTATGCTTTACTCTGGAGAGTTTAGGACCAAACTCAGAGAACTCAGAGAATAATTAATTTCTTTAAATTCAGATCACATACTCAGTAGTGTTGAAATCCAAGCTCTTTTTTAAACATAAGAACCTTTTAAATTTCAGCTGTTCAATTTAACCACAGTCCAAGTTAAATGATAGAAAATATATCTCTTAGCAACATGCCAAGTTGCATTCATTCTAAATTATTTTTATAAGCAATCAGATGCCAACTTAAGTACAGCAGTACATCTCCTTATCTAGAAACATTAACTATGAAATAGATAAACATTTTCTTAAAATGGGAATGTAAGCATATCAGTTGAGAAATTTCTGTTAAAATACCTGGAGGAAAAGCTGGGACTAGTTCTGCTGCTTTTAAAAATTATATATGTGTTACATGTACAAATTATTGTGCATGGAGTATTTTATTAAAAATCCATTTCTTTTGTCACTAGCAATTTCATCATGAAAACCTGGTCAATCTGATTGAAGTTTTTAGACAGAAAAAGAAAATTCATTTGGTGTTTGAATTTATTGACCACACAGTATTAGATGAGTTACAACATTATTGTCATGGACTAGAGAGTAAACGACTTAGAAGATATCTCTTCCAGATCCTTCGAGCAATTGAGTATCTTCACAATAATAATGTAAGTGCTTCAGAGTAAGTCAGACTATAAGATATATATGAATTGTAAAGTTCCTTTAAAAGTTGTTGTTTTTGTGAAAATGGTTGAAATCACTTTTCTGTACAATATTAATTGATATCCTGAAAATGAGGTCAAACCTTATAATTTAGTTGTAGAACCAAAAAACATACCGAGCACACAATATTTTTACTATAGGGCAGACCTAGTGTGGGATGCTAAAGAAGGTATCGCTAGTTTGGTATGGGGGAATCAACAGCCAACTGCTGTACTTTTTTATTAGAGAAAGTACTGTAAGCATTGCAGCTCAGGCCAGCACAAATGGAGGGAGGTTTGGAGGTATTAACTGGAAACTAGGACAGAGGAATGTCAAATCAATGTGGATGTCCTTAAGGAAAGAAAGGAGAAATAAAATCGCTGAGAGGGTAGAGCCTTGTTTAACTTACGAAAAATCAAGGAAGGAAAGAATATCAGCTGTTCTGATTTTCAATGTTGCCTTTAGCATTGCCCAGTAAATGTGTAGCTCAGCAGATTTTGAGGGAGGTATTTGGTTCCTAATATGAGCTCTATTTTCTGGAATGTTAGCTATATATTCAGGAAACAACAAAAGTCTCAAAAATAGTTTCATTAGTAAATAGTATATGCATAATATCTGTATATCCCAGTGTTTCTCAGATATCATAATCACTAATTTTCAGTGTTGCTAATAGTGCATCTCATTTTGTGTATATTTTTAAAAAACATAATAGCAACTTGGATCTAGATTGTAATTTTCTTTCCAGGGTGGATCCATGCGGAGTTAGTATAATGTGATTGTTAAGAGCACACAGTTTTTGGAATCAGACTATCCTGGCTTTTCACCTGCCAGCTTATCTATGGATAACCACAGAACTTGTACAGTTCACAACTTGCACAAGGAACATGGCAGTCACGTTACTCTGTGGCCCCAGGAAGGTTATATAAACTCTCTGAGCCTTATTTTCCTTATCTGTAAAATGATGCTATAGAACCTCACAGATTTTTTATAAAGATCAAACTAGGTAGTAGGTATAAAGTATTTAGCACTGGGTCAGGCATATTTTAAGAGGTCAATGAATAGTTCTGGTAAGGAATCAGGAATAGGTGTGTTATCTGTAATAGTGCCTTGTCTGTAGTAGACTTTAAAAATATTTCTTAAATGAAGAGAGATACCAGTATATGCTAGACTGAGAGTGGAAGACTTCAAAGAGGAGGTAAAACTAAAGTAAGTATTTGAACTGTAGCTTTTGCTAGAAGAGGAACTACATTCAGAAGGCGTACCACTGGGAGAATAGAGGTAACCTGAGGAGGGGACTTGAAAGAGTGATGCTAAATCAGTTTAGAGATCAGGAAAAGGGAGGTAAGATTGCACAGGTGACCTGGGGAGAGGTTTTCCAGAGCCTTGAAATTCATGTTGAGGAGTTTGGACTTTTTTCTGAGGATCTTGGAAGACCATGGGAGGTTTTTGAGCATTGCTGTAACAGGATGAAAACAAAACCTCAACTTATTTTGGCAAGAGTAAAGGGTAAGTCTGTATAAGAGGCAGAGAAATCAGTTGGGCGGCTCTTGTGACAGTCCAGCTAGGGAGCAGTGAGGGCTTGGACTAGGAGAGTGGCACAGGAGAGGAAAGGAAAGATGGCAGTACAGGAGGATGGAGAGACTTCACAAGAGAAAGGACAGGATTTGAGAACTAGCTAGATATGAGAGAAATGGGAACAATGGGAGAAATCAGTGACAAATACAAGATTTAAAATTTGAGAGCAGAAGTACGGTATCATTAGCAGTAACTGATTTTAAAAGGAAGAATTGTTTATATATATATATTTTAAGGGACAGTGAGAATTTCCAAGTAAAAACAGTGGCTAACCAATTGTATAACATGGCTTTAGAAGGCTGTCAGAACTGGACATACAGATTCGGGAAACTTCCTCCTCAAGACTGGCTGAAGAGGTAAGGATGGCCCCCTCTCCAAGGGACAGGCAGTAAGAGTCCTCAGCACCGAATACAGAGGACTGTCCGGAGGTGTGGGGAACACCAGAGAAAGAGGCCCCGACAGGAGCACTCACACTTTTATTCTCTCAGGCTTATCTAAGATCTAGAGTAAAATTATCCCTATCCCTCACCTCACTGAATGTTGAAAAGTTAATTCCTTTGAGAATTAAGGCAGCCATGAAGTGGCTCATTACAGTACATATTATTAGACTTATTTTCTGTATATCTGGGTTCTGGCCTTAATGATTTAAGGTCATCTTCAAGTTGTCAAAAGTTAAGAAAGAAAACTTTATTTTCCTCATTTCTCCAAATTTCAGATAATTGGGTTTTTATATAACTGAAATAGGAGAGCCTGTCTACCATGATACCCCATGTTCCTTTTATTTTTAAAAAATTTTTTTACTAAGGTATTATTGATATACACTCTTATGAAGGTTTCACCTGAAAAAACAATGTGGTTACTACATTTACCCATATTATCAAGTCCCCACCCATACCCCACTGCAGTCACTGTCCATCAGTGTATTAAGATGCCACAGATTCACCATTTGTCCTCTCTGTGCTACACTGTTTTCCCCGTGACCCCCCACACTACCCCGTGTTCCTTTTAATGAGAATGCATGAACTCAAATACAGTCAGTACCAGAAAAAGCTTTTTATCTCCAGAAATATTTGCTTACCTTTTTATTTTGTATATTGGCTTCGAGGCAGCTCAAATAAAAATTTGATGTTTAATTGCAGTAACTAGTAATTATAGGAATCTAGTTTATCCTTTTCATTTTTTCATTTTGGTTGTCTTTTTTTTTTTTT